CGATTTATACGAAAATTTGTTGAAATCGAGCCAAAAGATTACTTTCTTTTTGGCAATTTTTCAAAAAAGTGACAGCACAATTAACTCACATTAAATATATTTTTATTTAGAAATGCCCACTACTGGGTTGGTTCATTAAACCTTTTAAATCATAATAAATTTGGAAAAAATTCAGCGCCTGAAAAGCACTTAACCAAACATGCCTAACACTAAGAACATGCCGGGCGAACATCGACTGGCTTAATTTTTTTCTCTAAATTGAATTTAATGTTTGTATAATAAAACAAGACATTCTTTATATGGCTTTGTTCTTTTATAATCATCCTGGCTAAAATGTTGAAGCAATTAGAAAAATTTGCTCCGCCTATGCTCGGGCACCAACTACAAAGAAAATGTGGACACGTTGCATTTTATGCTATTTTAATAGCTAACCTGACCAAATCAATTTTTAAAGGACTTTTCCCGTCATCCTCTGCCATCTTCCAGCTAGCTCGTTCTCCATTATATTCATGCCATGAAGAAATCGTTAGATTGAAAGTAATCTGACTTTTTTAGTCAATATGGTGACTGTAAAGCAAACTTTGAAAGAAAAATACTTAATTTTCCTTAGTTGAAAATTATTTAAGATAGTCAGGTATTGAATAAGCATTCAACTTTAACGATCAAAAACGCTTTTTGGGAAATATTGAATACTACTATTTCTTCACGAACTGGCGGCGGTTGTTAGTGTGGCTGCAAAAGTTCTTTGCACAGAATATCCCCATCTTGATATAAAAATCGTTTTTGGACTTAAAAAAAAATTAAATGGTTTATTTTACTTCAAGCCTGGTATTGCGTAAAAACTGTTTTTTCCATGCTTTTGAGTTCATTTAAAATGTAATGTTAATTATTCCAGAAAGATGTAAATTATTTTAGTTTAGGAATTTTAGCTGAAATTCTCGCCTTCAGTTCATAAATCCAATATTGGATAAACTGTGTGTAAATGATTTGGGACAATTACTCTAAACTGGGCAGAAACTCCATCGTGTTTGTACCAAATTCGATTTCTTAACGCAATTGCTAGATTTTCAAACCCAGGAAATAATTCATGGATAAAATGCCAATAAGAAGAAATTATATAATTTTCAATCATTTTTCAACAAATCTCGAATATTTTTTCAGCCCATACACAAGCAACTTGCACACTACAGTTACCACATAAGACTTTGTTCTGTGGTTCTTTGCCCTTCTTTTTTATTGTGACTAATTTTTTTTGTCAAAAAAGCAATTATTGCATTAAATGAAAAATAGAACAGAAACTAGAAAAACCATATCCTTCAATATCTCTGAAACGATTATTTTGCGGCCCCCTTTTCACAAACACTTTTTTTTAAATTTACTTTATATCTCTTCAACTGCTTTACACTATTTTTTGTACACTGTAGAATACATTTATCTCCCTCCATTAAATAGTCGCTGATATACTAGCTTTGTTTTAAGCTTCCAAACATCAATGCTTTGGGTCTTTGGAGTACAATTATTTATTTAATAAGTTAAAATGTACTAAAGTGGTTGAAACAAAACAGTTCTGAAGCATCAGAAAACTTCTAATGTTTTTCGTATTCATTGGCAGTAGCAATTGATGAAGAAAAGACTGTTGAATCAGAAGAAAATGCCATAATTTGTCAGCATGAAAAGTGAAAAAGTCTCAATGTCCTAAGCTTGTTCAAGCATTAAAGCTTCTTTTAGGCTTATTTCGATACGCTGAGACCATTCGCAAAGTTTGATCAACTTTCCTATATTGCGGGTTTTTATTTCAGTTTTTATTCTTTTTCTTTCTTAATGTTAATTTCTGCAATAAAACTTAAAACACTTAATATTTTCAAAATAATACAGATAACAAAATATGTACAGAATATTTGGAGGAACCACAAATTTTACAATATACGGGTTCAACGACCCACCCTGTATTAGAAGTTTTTGCTGAAAAAAATGAGCATGTAAAAATGCAAATCGACCTCTCAGAATGTTTTTTGAAGCACGCGCCTCTACTTTTAATCGAATTTGTTACGTTTGCCTCATACACACTGTAAATAGACATTTTATAGACATATTTTAATTTAAAAAAATCAAAAGATCCAACAATTATTACAGCGTGATTCATAGAAAGTGCGCAAAACGTAAAAGCCAAATTTTGGAGTCAAAATATGTATTAAAATATAAAAACATATACAAGGAAACGTGTATTTGTCACACTCTTAAAATATCAATAACATTAATATTAATAATAATTTTTTAAGTTTTTGAGCCATTGGACTTATATTTGGGAAAATAACTCGAAAACGAAGACAGATACGAAAAAACGGCAAGAGATTAGAAAATTCTTAAATTGAACGGTAAATGTAAAAATGTGTTCGGTCAAAGTCAGTGCCTCTAGACAAAAGACCACCCTGTAGATTTTCACGACTAGTCTCTTTATCTGCGGGTAAAGGGTCTAAACATTATCCTGTGGTAAAAATTTGAACAAAATATCTCATAAAGTGTAGAAGTTAAGGAGAAAATATAAAAACTTTTTTGGCATTTTAGTACTAGTTTTTTTATGGAATCAGTAGATTAAAAACTTGCTAATTATGTTTTAATAGTTTTCTCTCAACCGAGGGAGAAAGCTTTAGAACCTATTATTTTCAAGCGCTTTATCTATGCGATGTTGTAAATAACATACGTATAAGAAGTTGTTTCCAAGATTGCCATTATTACTTTCTTTAAAACAAAACTTTTTGTTTCAGAATCAAAACGTTATCTGACATAGTTTATAAAATGTTGTTTCATATTTCTATACAATTAATTACGTTTTGTATTTTCGCATAATATTTTTGAACCATCTGTGAAAAACTTGCACAAAATGTTCATGATTTTTAGAAATTTTTGTTTTATAGATAGAAACTTGCTTATATTCTAATAATTCTGTTTTATGAAAACCGAAGGAAAAAGCTTTAGAAGCTGGTATTTTTAAGAGCTTCATCAGAACTTAACGGTTTTAAGGCACAGTGCTTTTTACAAGTAAAATTATCAAAAGCTGCCTATAAGTATACATTTTTCTAAAGCCTTTCAAATTGTTTTCAAGATTGTCGTCATTATTTCCTTTAATTTAAGACTTTTTACTTCAAAACCAGAACGTTGTCAGATAAAGTTTGTAATTTTTTTTCTAAAAAAATTAAATCCACGCTTCATCATATTTTTGCATATTATTTATTGTTCATTCTGCACATTTTAAACAAATTAACAACAAAAGCAGTGAAGGCATTTTCCATTGCAATTATTTGATTAACAAATTATAGTTAAAGTTACAGTTTTTAACATCGCTAAAAAAGTGTACAAAATTGCATGTTTTTTAGAGCAGCAGTTACTTTATCTAATAGCTCAACAGCAGGTCTTCTGATGAGAATTTTTAGAGCCACCATGGATGGAGCGGATATGGATGCGTGAGAATTGTTTTGGTGTAAATCGGCACTATTGCTGGGGCTGGAGCAATCACTTTTATTGGCGGGTGGTAGATCAAAGGGGCTGGATAACTATGAAGATATCCTGGAACAAACTAACATTAGAATCCTTTGGCTTTCGGAAAATTTACAGAGACAATTGAACTTTTTAATGCAGGAAGCCAAAATTGATGCTATTCTCCTAAATACAAATAAAACCTTTAGTGATTTCGCTAATTACCTGGGGCTGCAAAAGTACAAGCCAAAACAGCACAGGCCACTAAGAACACTTTGAACATGTTGAACGGTACTAATTAAAAGATCGAAAGAATCTGCTGTTTTCTCTAGTTTTTCACGGCTATTTATACGCTTTTGTATGAGGCAACGTACATTCATCTAAGGAAAATTGTATTGAAGATCTTGTGACAATAAATTCACTATTGCAAGATCGAAGTTGTCGCATCAGCTCCCTTATTTAGCGCAGTTGCTCAAAGCTAATTAGCAAAGTGAACATTGGCAATACACATTTTTTCCTTGTTGGCTTATTTGTTCTTAGCATCCAACGTGCTCTCAGCTAAAACTCTTTTTTTGCAAAAAATCTTATTGTAGTTTATATTACAGAAATATGTTCACCGTATCCTTGGACGATTTGATTCGCATTTTTCCATCCCATAAGCACATGGAACACAAGCAGCAAATAATGTAAGATTAATTGTAACTATTGCTTAATAGTTACAACAGTAAACAAGTTAGTTTCTATTTATATTTACGTAATATTACTCCTAGTGTATTTATAGCGGCTCTAATGCTGCTCTAAGAGCTGAGCGTTTCCTTCAGTTGCTTCCGCTTCGTGGCTTTCTGTTCCGTTTGTTTTCACTTCTCCCATGGAATTTTGGCAATTTTCTTCTTTCGAGCCTGCGTTAAGTAGCAAAGACATTTGGGGGCTGTTTAATAGAAAAAAGCGAACTATTGCTGGGCTTCCATCCTGATCTTCGTGGGTCTTTTGGCGAATAGCCTGAACTGGCATGTAAATGATGACTGGTTCTAGACTGGCAGGCTTGGGTTCTTCTGAAGAAAACGTATCCATCCTGTAGCTGTAGCTGTGAGGGGGTTGATTGGAAACTTCGTTTTGCGGCCCATGACTGATGCTTTGATATCTTTGATACTCTGGAGTTTGGTAGAAAATTCTGGCTGGACATAAACTGATTTGCAGCAATATTAACAGACCTGTATATCCAGCCATTTTTCAAAGGCTGTGTATTTTCAGTAGATCTGTTAACTGCAACTAAATAGCTTCTTATTTGGCGTGGCGTTTTATATGAAAAAAATTGAAAGCAGCGAAGAACTCAACACGGAAACAGTGCCTTTCTATACCTGATGTTAAATAACTAAATGTCTCGTTGTCATTCTGCTTAATAATTTTTGTGTTTGATGCATTGGGCGATAAAAGTTATTCTTATTTCGTCTGGTGATTATTGCGCCAAATAGCGCAACGCTTCACTAGGTTTGCTAGATATTGTCGCCTGTGAATGAAGCAGCCAATTTAGCAATCAACATAATTTATTTAAAAATACGTTCTGTTAATAATAAAGCAAAGTTCAGTTGAAATTGGGCAACAAGTTTCCTTCGAGGGAAGAGTGGTGTTTAATCGGACCATCCTCCAAACATAGTGTGGAAAGAAGCGTTAAATTGTCCATTTCTTCATAGTTTGGTTCTTTCTCAGCTCGATCACTAGGTTCTAAGTCAGGTATAAGCGGTGGAAAGTCTTCAAGGGCTGTGTTTGGTTCTGATGTGATTAACTCGCTGTTATAGAGAGCGTCGCTTATCTCTTCGGCGGTTTCTATTTCACCGTCATTGTCCTCATTGAAGGCCTAGCAAAGAGAGACTTTTGAATGATTTTCGTACATCATTGCTGTAAGCGGTTTACTATGAGTAAATAAAAAAAAAATAACCCGATAACATTGCGCTTTCAAGTGATTGTATAATTAAATATTTCCTCAGAACATTTCGTATAATCTTTATCAGGGTAATATCAAATCCTTTACAGCATTTTTGTAATTTTTTGGTAAATTAAAAACAGTCAAATATAGTGGAGAAGTTATTCGAAAACTCGAGGCTGATTTTTCCTGCCTTTCTAAAAATTGCCGTATTTTTTATATGTAATTTTACTGCTTGTTAGTATTTCAAAGCACACCTAGAGCAAAAATGAACAGCGACGTTTCTAAAAATATTAACACATCAATTTCCGTTCCACTTTTCAAAATCCGCGCATTTTGGTTCATTTTTGAGCAGATTTATTCGCAAACTTTGGTCTTTTAAGCTTTGACTCTGGCAAAGAACATTTATTTTTTCTTTGTCTTTACTTCCGCTGTTCCACAATATATAAAAAAATTATATAATTTTTTTATTGATTGCAAGACTACAAGATTTTTAAAAAATTCGTATAAAATATTGACTTTGATACTTCAGAATTCAACAATTCTCTACATTTTGCAAAGCCTATTAATAATCCAATTAATAAAGGCTTTAAATACTCTAATGATGCACACTTTTTTCTATCATATTTACATCATACTTTCATCTTCACTGAATGATATTTCCTACAAAAAACTTTATTTCGTGTGATTCATAATGCATGCAGTAAACATCGAAAAATCACCTTATAAAATAAGTAAAAACTTATAGATAAAGAGTCAAATCAAGCATAATGCAAATAAAACGGCAAAAAAACCAAAAACGCTTCTCCTGAATGTTTCAAATGAGAAAAAAATATATGAAAAAGATGCAGAAGAAATAAGCGCAAGAGAATCGCACAATCCGTCAACATCACTTCATGAAAAGAGTGAAAATTGATGTATCAAAAGCCAAATAAAACGACTAAAAAATGCGAAAAATATGTTTTAAGGCGAATTCCGAGGCAAAACGACCAAACTGTTGGCAAAAAACTGGGAAGAGTTGCAGTAAGAAAAAATCTGAAACTTAATACCAAAGATCCGAAACGTAAAAAAATGTTTTTTTAATTATCGAAAAACTTATTAGTGGGCGTTCGATTTTCATTCATGCATTTCTTGTAAATTTTGCAATGTTTGGCTAAATAATGAATTGTGAATGAAATACTGAAAAAAATGTTTAACAATCCTGATGCTTTAATAAAAAATTATAAATTGGTAGGCAGGTACGTATTAAGAACGTTTAAGAATGATCAATTTTTCACTCTGCATCTGATCACTTCTGCACAAGAATATCCTCGTTCAATTTAAAAATTACAGCTTTCATCCTACTATTTTACTTAAAAAACATGATACGTCAAAAGTGTAAATATGAGCGCCATTTTTTAGATTGTATCAATACGAATCATTTCTTCGAAAACAGGGCGTTTCCTAAATAATACTAATCAATAGAAAAACTGAATTCTTCGACATTAAAAACCCCAAACACAAAACTTTGTGGTAGTTTTTTTTCGATGTTTTAATGGTGCAACTTAACTTTCTTGCTTGAACTCTCAAGACTCCAATGGTTTCTAATTTCAAAATCACGATCTTGCTTGAGGAAGCAAGTTAAAAAACTATCAGAGATAGGTGAAGATAAATGACAATACTTGAAAAACTTAAAAAAATATGAAAATATTTACATACAAAAATTGAAAATTTTCATTAAACTGAGCAAACGAAATACTTCGCCTTGAAACTTCACCAAACCCATCTGTTTGCTTCCATTAGGACTATATTGCAATATACAAAGAATATAGACTTTGACTACATTTTGCTATTCTTACCGGTACCACTGGCATGGTGCTCTTGTACTGAAAGGCACTGTTAGACAAATCCACCTCGACTGGAAACAAAGCAGGACCTGCAAGAGCTTCCAAATGGTGCTCGTGCATCTCACTAAGCGCCTTCACAATCCGCACTAGCTGCCCCCCAAGTTGCTGGACATGCTTATTATCCAGAAGCTCCATTTTTACCAGAACATCTGCGCGCAACTTAGCAAACCGAACCCTTGCTAGCTGCCGACAACGCAGAATTAGCCTGCGAAAATTCCCAATGATTTTTCTGATTTTTTTCAGTTGAGCAACTCTTACCTGTATTCATAATTTCCAGTCTCCACCCGGTAGATCGGCTCTTGGAGGGCCGCATAGCCACATTCTTCATCGTCCATTTCCTTCACTTTGAGGCAATAAGCGAGATACTCGAACTTGGCATCAGCATATTTCTTCACCGTTAGCCTGGTGTCTGGAATAGCCTTGTGAAGATACGTCCCCATATCCGATAACACCTAAGGAAATCACTACTGGATGCTCCTCAATCAATCAGCTGCTTCAACAACTCACCGGTTTAACTTTCTGGATCATTTCCAGCCCGGTTTTTTCCATGTTTCGATGCTGCTCCCCAAAGAGCCTGAACGTTTCACTCGCCCTTGGTTGAGGCTCTCTAACTGCCAGAGAAGCAAACACATCTCCCATCGCTTTGATTGTTTGAAGAAGTTCCATGTGGGCCTAAGAAACGCATTGTTTGGATGGAAATATTAGCCAGAAAATCACTTTGATTTACATGCAAAACCCGCTTGCAGTGGTCGACAAGCCCTCGGTACATCAGTTCGGTGTCTTGCAGCTCTTGCATTTTTTTCACTAGAGTATCGTTACATAAAATAGCTCTGGAAACAAGAATTCCGTTTTATTGCACATCCACAGTAAGAGTGAATTGATGATTTGTAAATAAGGGGCGGATTACATGCAAAGTTTTTCTGAAAAACTTTGAAAACTGTTTAATTATAAATTCGTACGATACAAGTTATTCTATTCCAAACTGTAAAGCACCAGAAGGCCACTGTAATTAGCATTCTCTCAGTATAAAACTGAACTTTGCATTAATTCCACAAACCTACCAAAACCGTCGTTTTTTTGAATGAATAGTTGGATTTTTTGTACCTGGACAATCCCAAAGCATCTGCTGTAGACGAGCTCATATTCTCCACCAAGCGATGCTTCATTTTCTTCAAAACTATATCCAGGCTCTTCCCTTGCTGCGGGTCTGCATGCAGCTTATTATAGTTGATGATCACTTCATCCTGAAAGAATTTGCCCTGCTTTTATGCACTTAGCGGGTTTTTAAGGGCACCTTTGCTGCTTGAATCATTTTGGCTACCTCCACCTTAGTCTTCCCTTTAACAGACTGTCCATTAACTGAAACCAATTCATCACCCGATTGAAGAGTTCCATCCCTACTGGCGGCAGTGTTGTCGAAGATTTGAACTATATAGAGACAGGGACATTGGGGGGCTCCACCCCCTATGCTGATTCCTATTAGGTTGTTTTCGTCTTTTTTTATGGCCACACTGCCAGACGTTACTGTCATACCCCTGGAATAGATTAGATAAGACCACAATCTAATTGGTTAGAAACGACAAAAGTCCATTAAGTCGATCAATTTTTTAATAACATTCCCCACATGCTTTTGGATCAGCTCCATACATGCTTAAGAGTTTTGTGCTGTTTATGGGTTTATAGTAGGAATAGAAAGTGGACTTTTAACTGCTTACAGTGTGTTTTCCTCTAAGTATATTAACACCTCCAGAGGAGTTTGTTGGAGCAGCATATTTGGACTTTGCTGCACAAAATCTCTGAAATATTCTTGGTTCAGGCTGCGCAGTTTTATGAAGCAGTACCTACTTGTGTCTACTTACTCGAAGTTTAAGAGAGTGGCTGAGCTATTTGATGCAAAGTCTTCCATTGACATTTTTAAGCACGAAGGATCTTGAAAAGTTTTTTTTAGTTTTTCAGAGTCTATGAGTATCTAAAGCTAACGTGAAACTACTTTATTGACTATAGTAAAATTGTGTCAACTCTTCTAGGAAGTGAACACGTTATAGCTATGTAAACTATCTGGCGTTTACAAAAAATCAAATTTAACTTAACAAAAGAGAAAAGTAAAATGTACTAAAGGCATGAAAGGTGAAAGTGCTAATAATTTAGAATACTGGGTGATTCAAAGCAAATTTCAAAAAGCGATGGAAGGTGGGTGATCGTGACCAAACGTTCTAATGGACGAGAGTTCTTAAGGCCCTCATTTTGAGGGGTGTTTTTTTGACTAAACGTAAAAAATACCAAAGAGAATAAAATGAAATTTGGTCCAAACATCTAATCAAGTTCTTGGGTCCTTGTTTCCTTAAGATTCTCATTTCGCTGTCTATTTCTTGTCTCCAGATCCTCCGTGGTCTTCCTCGCTTTCTTCGCCAATTTGGATTCCATTTTAGTATTTGTTTAGGTTCGTTCTCCGTTCTCTGCACATGCCTGTACATATCAATTGTTTTGTTCTTATCTCGTCCACTATAGTGCGTTGACCTACTGTCATAATTTCTCTTATTTACGCATTTGTAACTTTTTCTCTCCTTGATCTTCCTGCCCCTCTTCTCCAATAGTCCATCTCTGTCGCGGACATCATTTTCTCTACTACTACATCTGAACTCTACGTAACAATACTCTTTACGGTGGTGTTATATATGAGGTTTTTGTTCTGTTTAGATATACTCTGGTCTCCTTTTATTAAAGTTATTGCTTTTCTTCCCTCCGCTGTTATTTTTAGCCATAACTACAGTATAATTTCACTAATCCCGTACTTCAATAGACCGATACTTCCAATAGTCCGGCATCCCCCGCAAGCAAAAAGAATCGAATTTTATAAAAAAAAATATGAAAAAAGACGATTTACGTGCCAACGATGGATGGCTGGATAAATTAAAGAAGCGATTTGGTCTGTTAACCATATCGTGTGAAAAATTATCAAGCACACACTTTGCAATACAGCCATTTATCCAGTATTTTAAGGACAAAGTAGAGGAACTGGATCTTCTTCCCGACCAACAGATGCACGTGAAGATTGATAGAATGGAATGGAGACCATGGGAAAACAAAAGAAGTAGAGGTAGACCGCAAACGAGATGGTCGGATGCCATAAAAAGACTGGCAGGACACGACTGGATAGGAAAAACTACTAATAGAGGAGAATTTCAGATGTTGAGAGAGGCCTTCACTCGACGATGCGTCGAATATGACGGATATGGATATGAATATGGGACGACTTAAGTAATATTGATGCTGCTCTTTGATGATTTCGCTATAATCCAGTAATCCGAACATTCCGAAAATCCGGCAACCTCAGGTTCTCAATAGTGCCGGATTAGTGAGATTACTAGTTAAACAGTCTTCGGTTAAAAGTTTTTTTAAAGTGTACATCCCATTTTTTGTCTGATATTGGCGAACTTATATCGTTGGTCGTTTCATTTATAATTGATCTTATCGTCTTCCAACTTTCGGTGCTTCTTCGACCTCCTATTTTCTGGCACTTTTGTGTCCATGGTAAATTTTTCTTGTCACTAATCATCTGTTACCTCTGATTGTCCGTTCTGGAAATTTTGTCCGGCATTCTCTGTTTTTTTGAGATAAGTAAATGTAGATAATATCTATATTGTTGAGGCAAATTCATTTTTTTCCAAACTTCTTGTTGGGTACTTCGACTCAAAAATTTTTGTCTTTAAAAAAGTTGATAATTGCCATAAAATTCAATGGAATAATTCCACAATTTTAACAAAAGAACAATCCACAAAAAAACGTAAAATTAAAGAAAGCGCGCTAATTTTACTAAATCAAAATAATTGTGTTGCTTCACGTTCATTTAATTTAAGTCATACATGGTTACCTATGCTAAAATCTGAATTAGACCAGAGAAACATACACCCAAATTAAATTTACACCAAAATTATTAATTAACATTACCTTTATTAATTTAAACAATGAGATTAAGTCAAAGTCACATAACTGACAATTTGCACAGACGAATTATTAGAGCGAATTTTCATATACTGTATTATCCTACTATTGTTACACAATTTATTAACTATACTCTTTTTTAGGTTCATTTAGGTTCTTTTGATAACGATTGCAGAAAATAGCTATCGAAACGTCAAGGTAATTTTCCAAATTAATTTCTTTTCTAATTGGAATTTTCTCCTACAGCTTGAGCCTAAGTGTGTCGCAAGATACCCTCTGGGTGATAGTTCTTGATTACTTTTTGATAAATAATTCCTTCTTATTGCGAAATAGGAGCACTATTTATCAATCTGTAATAGGAGACGTGAGGAAATTCTGTCTTTTTTAAAGACAAAAATTTTTGAGGCGAAAAACCCAACAAGAAGTTTGTAATAAAATAAAAAAATAGGTAAATGTGATACAGTTTTACCTTTTCCTCTATTTCTCTCTCAATCTCAGCATAGCACCAATATGGTTTTCTCTTTTTCGATTTTT